AAGAAACAAATGGAAATATTACGTCGATCCTTATATTATTACAAACGATCTTTAAACATGAGTTGAATTCGAATCTGAAACCTCGAAAATTCAAAATTTATTCTCCTTCTTTTTTTTTCTTTTACTTAATATTTATATATTTTTCTAAGAATTAAAATGCGAATTAAATTTTCATTTCTATTTTTTTTTTTTCCTTTTTTTCTCTTCAAACTCGCCGCAATGATCTTTTCTTCCTATTTTTCCTTTCCATTTTCGTGGAATTGACACCGTTAACTCTTCGAAGCCAGGATGATCGTCACGCTCGGCCACGTTTTACGGTTGTAAATCGAATCGACGAAGCTTAATTTCCTGAAAGTTGCGTGGCAGAATTAGACGAAGGCAGATGCGTGGGACACGCGTGCGTGGTTCACGGTTTAATAAGAAAATCAAACGGCGCTCGAGGAGAGCGATAAGGCACCTGCCACGTGTAACGATCCCCTAATGACTCGTCGGAATCGTGTCTCTATTATTCTTCTCTAGAAACCGGAGGGAAACCGGGTCACCTTCCAAAACTTGATGCTTTTCCACGGATCCCCGCTTATTGAACAAATTCTCTCTCTCTCTCTCTCTCTCGTAGATGAAATTCCTCTCCGCTAATAATAATAACAGAAAAGTAGAATAACATTGTTATAACTGGGGCGAACGATTAATTATCAACTCGGATAAAAGATAAACGTCGACGATTTAGGAGGATGATTATCCAATGCTTCTTTTTCAATTCGAATCGAAATTGGTTTGCATCGACGACAAGTTGCCGCGTATGCCTCGCCTCGCCTCGAATTGAACGTCATCGAGGTGTGTAGAGTTTTTTAAATCGAATTCAGGTAAAAGATTCGCCCGTGTCGCGTTGTTGTGGGCGGTGCAGCGGAATTATTCTCGTGTCATTGGTCGAGGACAGTGCGCGTAGCTGCGGTGGCTTACGTTGTTGGCGAGTGCAGTCGATCGGACAATGCGGCCGCCTCACAATGAGAAAGCTGCGCCGTTCGTCTCCACGTTTCCCTGAAACGTTTAGACGTTTTGTGCACCGTGATCGTCGTAAGGCGGCGAAATGCCTTCCTCAAGACGGAGGGGACAAAATGGAGCGCGCGTGAGCGCGCCAACCATCCATAATAATTCGTTCTTTGTAAAGATTCGTATTCGTTCACTCGTGAGACGTGACACGAGTTTTAATCCAGATCTGGTAAAAAATAACGTCGACGAAAGAAGAACTTTTCGTTACTCGACGTCGCGGATAGGAAGGAAATCGAGTTTAACGACAATAAATATTTTAACGATTTTCTCAAGAAAGGAAGAGAGAAATGATTTCGTCGTTGGCTACGTTGTATACGCTTCGAAAATGATAAAAATCCGCCCGAGATACGAGGCATTAATCCTCGTATAATCCTCGTATAATCCCGGGTTCAGGTATTCAAAATTCGGTATCAGGCTCGCGTCGAATAAATTCCAAAGTGAGCGCAAACAACGCGAGCGCCCGTTATTCCAGAACGGGTGGAATTCTGTCCGCGTGTCGCGGAGAAGAAGCGCGCCCTTTGTGGGGAAGAAAAAATTCGTTACGGCACTCGTGGCGCGACAACGTTAAAAAGGGATTCCCTGCATTCACCGTTGAAACCGCGCGCCTCGCCATTGTCCCCCCGCAATGGCAAACACGAGAAAACGGTTTCAACTTTCGAGTGCCCGCACCGAGCCGAGCCGTGGCCGTCGCTTCTACTCTCTCGTCTCGTCACCACCACCCGGAGTGCTTCCCCCTTCGACGAGAGCAACCCCCGCCATTCCGCTACTCGAGTGCTGTCGCGCTCACTCTTTTCAACTTTGATCGAGCGCCTCTTCACCGCGCATAAGATGAAATGAATTAGCGCTCCGGAACCGGAAAGCCTCGCTTCACCCTCCTCTCCTTCCTTTCTAATCCCTCCTCGCCCCATCTCCTCTCTCCTCCTCCTCTTTCGCTCTCTCTCTCTCTCTCTCTCTCTCCCTCGTTTCCACGCGCGAGAACCGTTGCGGTTTCCCTTCAATTTTTCTCCACGTTCGTACGCGCGATCCAATGGAATGGAAGCATGTCGTGCGAACGAACCCGTCCAACGATCGCGTTCCAACGAAACGCGCAACACGTTCTTGAACATCTTTCTCGGTTGAATTGTTCAACCGGCTCGAACGATCCGATTTCGAGACGGGGACAAGCTCCAAATCGATTCCAATATCGTTTTCGACGCGGCGCATCGATACGGGCCGTAATTACAATTCCAATAGTAATCAACACCGCGTAATAAAGGCCAATGAGGCTACGTTTCCCTCTTTAACGCGATATTCCTCCCTTCGAATCGATTAATTTTCACCGAGTTTTGAGTCAAGCCACGAAAGATCCTTCCGATTCTTCGTTAATTCTTCTTTCTTTCCACAAATTTGTCCATTTCCTGATTTTCATTTTCATTTCTCGCTCCGAAATTCTCGATCCCCTCTTTCTTCCTCTCTTCGTCTATCTACATAGTCGACTTTGAAACTTTGATCGAAGCGTCGAGATAGATTCGTAATAAAGGAACTGGCTTCTCTCGTATCTGCATATCGTGCATTAGGATCGGATTGAATTCGATGCGAATGACGAGGCCTGTACACGCCTGAGGGTCCGGAAAATTGAATTGCCGCTCAGGCCACCGCCAGTCGCAGAATCATTTGCCCCGATACACGGAATTCGCTCGAATTCGCCACTAGAAATGGAAATGTGCTCCGTTTGAACGAAGAAGAAGAAGAAGAAGAAAAAAAAAAAGAACGAAGGGGAAAAATTGACGAGAGAAAATTGTCGAAAGTAATCTTTATTTCAAAGTTTACTATTCGATGAGATAACGTGTCGCGTTTCCGTCACGATCCGTTGATCACGAACGTCGCGTCGTTGTTTCGCAGGAGGGAGAGTAAGTTAAGTAAGTAGATTGCGCCCCAAGAAAATCGTATTTTCGAGACGAAATTCGCTGCATGCCAAAGCGATAATGTGATTACGACTACGTTGATGTACATACCCCTTTCATCTCTTAGCTTGGCGCGCGAGGAAGGAAAAACAATTCCCTTTGTGGCGAACAAACGAAACACGAACGAGAGGAAGGAATGAGTGCTTCGATCGTTATTTGCGCACCGCGAAATACGGATATTTCCCTCCGCGATTCCGATCAACTTCTTCTCCAAACCTCTTACCCTTCCTTCCTCTCATGGAGGAGCGTAATTTTTCAACTAATCGGGGAAACTCGGATGAAAATAGCGAAACGTTACCTCGAGGCTCGGTCGATTCGAACATTTCGAGTTCCATCGAAATGTTCGAGGTATATAAAATAACGTTAAAAACATGGAGCGGTAAGTTAACCCGAAACCTATGAATCAAAGAGGAAACCGATCCTTTGAAACCACCGCTCTCCTCTCTCCCTAGAAAAAAAGAAAGAGGGAAAGGAAAGCGAGGCGAGGCGCGCGAACCTGACTGAATTTTTTGATTCCGACTTTTTCCCTTAAACGGTCGCTCATTCTTGGCCGCGGATGAATGAGGCCCCCGAGTACGAAACCTCGAGGATTCGTGAATGGGACCTGGAACCTGGTGGCGGAGGTGAGGAAAAAAAAAAAAAGACAGCCGGTTTTCATTCGTTCGCTCACCCGCAGCGCGAGTAGCTCACAAGTGTCCCATTGTCGATCGACGAGGATGCGAGAGTGCCTCCGCCCATTGTCGTCGTCCTCGTCGTCGCTCCTTAACACCATTAACTACGTTTTACCTTAAATTTGACCCAAAGTGGGGGCCTCTTGACAAATTTCCAGGATTTACGGCATCACACCCGATTTCACGTCGACAATGACGCGCCCGTTTCGTCGCCGATTCTTTTCCACGTCCCTCGCCACCTTTTGCTGCCTCCTCCTCCTCCTTCTTCTCCTCCTCCTCCTTTTTCATCCTTCGTCCGACTCTTCTCGCTCTCTTAATCCGTTTTATAATCGCGGCTTAACAATCGGAAAGTGGGCGGGGTAATTGGCAACGATCCCGTTTCACGTATCCATATTTACTAATTAATGATCGTTAACTCGTTCCACTCGTATCCGTGTTTTATTTATCACGAGTAATCCACGATGAAAATATTGTAGCTCGTGAATTTTTATAGATCCCCTGCTGGTTGAAAATTGAAAATTTGTTTCCGGTTTTATTACTTGTTGGAACGGACGAATTCTTTCATTCGAATTCTGCCAATGCGTTGTACGAAATGAGAGACGCACGAAGATAAACATTTCGATCCATTTTCCAATTTTTTTTTTTGATAGATATAAACAACTATCCACGCTGTGCTGTGCAAACTAGATCGGATCAAATTGCCTTTTTTTTCGTTCGATGATAATTTTTGTAATAGGGGAATCGATATAATCGTATGATTCACTTGCTTGACGGCCGAATTTTAAGCAACAACGCTACGATTCGATGAAATTGGCACGAATTATCTCGTTTTGCATTATGAAATATTTAAATATCGCCGCTCGTTCAACGCGTAATTCTTTCATAAACTTCTAAATTAACACGTATTTTACATACGATTGCTATTTATTATCAAGTTTCAAGTTGGAAAATTATCGTGAAATAAATTTCGAATGAAATTACACCATCGATCGCGTTCGTATATACGTAAACGTCCGTATATACGTAAACGAGCTAACGAGGGAAACGTCATAAGACGTTATTTATCTTGTAAAAAAGTAACGGCGATATTACGGAACGTAATACTCCATAACGAGGGTATTCAAAATGGCATCGCATCGAGACAAATTTCAATGATCAATTTCAATCATTTTATTTTTTTCCTCGAAACGTATACAGCGTTTTTCTTCTCCTCCTGTCGTACAAAAATATATTATATACATTATTTACAAGACTTACGTAGATCGCGTACACAATAACGATACGATACAACGAAAACAACGCGAATCCTTCTTCCTCTCCCTTCCAATCTTATTTTCTACGAATTAACGATCCTCTCCACGGTGTGCTTGGTGCATCCTATACCCCTGAACACAGGCGCGATAGCAGTGTCTTGAATCGCGTTCCGATAAAGCGACGGCGACCCGTCGACCCGTCTCTTCTTGTCCTCCGCTTCCTCCCCGGCCTCCTCGACCCCGTCCAACCTCCTCTTCGACCCTCTCGACAAACCGTGAACGTCCCTCTCGTAACCGATCACCCCCGCAACGTTCAATCCCTCCTCCGCCCCCGGGAAAGATGGGAACGAGCGGTCGAAACGATCCGCCATTCCGACGTTCGACGTTTCCTCGTTGCCAATCGCGTCCACGGATTTCTCCGCGTTTCTCGTGATCGACCCCTCGTCATCCTGCTCGCATTTCCGAGTCGACGAGTCGTCACCGCACGCCCCCTCCTTCCTCTTCCCGCACGTTCGAAGACAACAGCATTTCTGACTCTGGCCCGAGGGAAGATCCTCCTTCTTGTACTTGACCCTACGATTTTGAAACCATATCTTCACCTGCTTCTCCGACAATCTCAGATTCGTCGCGATCTCTATTCTCCTTAGCCGGGACAGGTACATGTTGGAGGCGAATTCCCGCTCCAGTTCCAACAATTGGGTGCTGGTGAACGCGGTTCGAATCCTCTTCGAGCTGTTGTTGATGGAATTGGGCGACTTGGGGGGCGGCGTCGGGGTGCTGTTGCGCGAGGGCGACTCTCCTGCCGCTGAAACGTCTGAACAGAAGAATAAAATTGGCGGTGAGAACTTTTCGCTCGTCCTTTTGGCGAATAAATTGGAGAGGGTGGAGAAGAGATTTACCGGAAAGTCTGCTCGCAGAGGTGTTTAAAGGGGATGGAGGGCTGTGGCCAGGTATCGGGCGTAAATTCGCCAAGGCAGGCGGGCTAATCGGAACCGGAACGGGCATCGCGGGCGGCCTCGGCACCGGCCTTATCGGTTGATAGCCCAACCCCAGGTTGAAGAAGTTGAACATGTAACTGGGCAATTGATTGCCGTAATACGGTAAAGGGTAGGCGGGTGGCGAGTTGTTGCCGATTAACGAGTCCACGAGGAAACTTCGCGACATACCGTTTAATTTATCCGCTCGATTCACACGTAACAACCTCACGAAAGTTCAAGTTTCCACGTTTCGAGTCTTCTCCTCGACCCCGAGATCCTACGAATTGAAACACTAAATCCTGAAACCACTCAACCGTCCTTCCGCACGATCCCTCCGCCTCGATTCACAGCTTCGATCCTTCATCTGCTCGTGAACGTATATCACTTTTCTATAATTTTCTTTCTACTTTCCAATCTTATCCAATCTTAACTAGGGAACGATGCGAGAGGGCAAAGGTAAGAAAGATTTTTTTTCAAAATAAAGAAACTCGGAGATCCTCGCGGTTCGATGGTAAACCGTTCTCTGCACCCCGGGCAAAGCACCGCTCAAGATATATATATATAGACGGGGGTTGCTAACTCCACCCAGGGGTTGGTTTCCTTGGGGCCCCCTTTTGTACAGGGCCCCGCCCTTTCCTCGAGGGTGCCCCCCTTTTCGATTCACCCTAACAGCGCACGGGGACCAAACGGATCGCCTCCCCTGGGATCGACACCGAGTAGGGCATTTTCTCGCAACGCTAATTCGACGGGTGGCTAATACGTCCGGAAACTTTATACACTCCCGTATACTCCCATCTTTCCGCTATTATTGGCCTGCGCCGCACGCTCCAACCTCCCCCCCTTCTGCGACGTCTCCTTATTATTCGAGGCCGCATTCGTTCCTCGCAATGATTTTGAAGTATGATTTTAAATTGGCGGAAACACGCGCAAAATCCGGAGGATATACGTTTAGATGCGCGGGGTTCGGTTAAAGTGAATATGTTTGTTTGTTTGTTTGTTTGTTTTAGTTGACGATTTTCGAGTTGACTTGATATTCTAACTAATTATTTTTCCATAAGAGGAATAATAATAGGAATAACAAGAGCGATGATGCTCGTTTCCGTTATTTTTTCGCGAAGAATCTGGTCGGCCAATCGAGATAAGACGAAGGGAGGAGACGGCACAGTGGTAATCCAACGTGACTAAAGAAAGCGTCATTAGTGGTTTCCTCGAGGGTGAAATTGGAGAACGTTTTACGCCAATCAGTGGAAACATTCACGAAGGGAAAATTTCCCAGGTAACGTTCCTTAATTTTCGGTTCCTTCGCACGCTTCCTCCTTCGTACGAAACTTTCGATCGGTTTACGTTCCGACGAAAAGAAACGAAGAAGAAGGAGAGCAAAGGCGATAAATAATTTCGTTGAAAGCATCGAAAAGTTTTGTCGATTAAGTGGGGAAGGAGAAAAAAAAAAAAGAAAATTCTTAGGAATTCATCTCATCTTTCTCTACACAGAAAAGTGTTTCGGCATCGATATTCAATAACTTGAAAGATCCAAATCGAATCCGAGGAACGAGCAGCTTTTTTTCTTCCTCTCTTTCTTCCATCGAACAATTTCCATTCCGGAAAGCATCTGGATTCCACGATCCACGTTTACGTTTCCGATAAAGTTTGCCGCTGGTTTTATTAGATCAAACGAATAATAATAATCCTACCAACTCTGCAAAAATCCTTTGCCACCGTTTTCAACGATTCCTTTCTCCCGTTTGATTACTTTAATTTCGTTTCCACACATTTGTCGTTAAATTATTCCTTATATATATCTTTAAATGGCCTCGCTCGCGTATCAAGAAGAATCGAAGACAAATAAATAAATGTTTGTCAAACCATCGATACACCACGAATTTTAAAACAGGGCTATCGCTCAGTTCCCTATTCCGAGAATTTTAACGATCCCGGTTATGCAAACTCTTAAACGTGCACGATCGATGAAAATGGGAGGGCAGGTTCCAGTTATCGTTCTTCGAAGACGCGGCTCGCTCAATAATTCCACGAATACGCATACTTTCGAGAGACTTGAAGGAGTAGGATGGAGGAATATTAAATTTGTTCGTGAAATAATTCGCTAAAATAACTGCGTTATTCCCGAAAATTGCCAACGAATTCGAGTTTCATTGTATCCGTTGGCAACCCGATACGTTGCGTTCAATCCATCGAAGAAACAGCGAACCGTGTCGAACACGCAGTGACGGACTTGGTTCCACTTCGACTTATTAGAGTGGAGTATCTTGCTGCTCGCCGAGCTAATCTTTTGATTACTACGTGGCTGCTTTATCGACCGTGTCGCGTGCGGAGAGCGCGTCCACGGCGTGTGTTCAGGAAGCGGAAAATTAATATTTAACGTCGAAAACCTCTTTTCGAGGTATCGGGTATATTCAGCGACGGTTTTCGCCTCGTCGCTCGGTGCCACATTTTCCTGTACTCGAACGTACTTGGACTCTTGGCCACCTGCTCCACGAATGCACGGCTCGTATTCGAGAATCGCCACGTCATGTGTCGACGATAACATGGTGACGACAATATTCGCACAGCGTTAACGACGAGCTCGATTCGTATCTGTAACGATTCGTGCCCTTTTCTATCATCCACGTTGCTCCACGTGGAAACGATATCTCCGCCGATGGAAACGATAAAGGAGAATTTCGAAACAACGTCGAACAATTTAACATTCTGCTCCCTTCGTTAGCGAGTTCGCGTTAATCCATTTAGAGCATTCGAGGCAAACGAATTAAACGCGATACGAAGGCGGTTTGAGAAAAGATTGAGAGAGAGAGAGAGAGAGAGAGCATAAGCCCTTGATTTTAAACCTCTAATAAAGCGACTAATCCCATTACGATGTTACCAAGGCGAGGAGGAGGCCGGAACCACCCCGTATTAAAAATCGAGGGGGGTAACGTTGTATCACGAGCCGCTCGTGAATAATACAATACGCGTATCTCTCTCTCTTCCAGCATATGTCCGGCTGATTTCGAAGGGTTGCCCGCACCCTCCTTGCGAGGGGTTGGATCCGCGCCACCCTTCCGACAACGAAACATCGAATATCGCAAACAAAAGTTAGAGACGCGCGTATGCAGCGTACTTTGTTACCACCGAATCATTACGACCGAAGGATATTTTAATTTCACGTGGGACCCCTCCTTTAGGGCATCACCATTGGCTCCCCTTTTTATTTGGGGCGTATCCCAATCTCGAGGAAGAGACTCGAGAACCGCCGAGACTAGATGTTCGAACGGAGGTGGAGGAGGGAAGAAGAATAGGTTTTATATGTATATATATATATATATATTTTGACTCGAATCTCCGATTTCTTGATTGAAAATGGATATTAATGTCGAGTAAAGTAAACGTCGCGTAACGCGATACAATAATCCGTTTCGTAATCGATAATACAAGGGAAAGGGACGATGGAAAAGAAATTTTACAACGAGAAGAATCGTCGTCCAAGCTTCGAATTCTAATTCAATTTTCCACTTCTTCTTCCAAATCTCTTTGCTGCTAAAGTTTCAAAGAGTACGGTCTCGAGGAGTGGCATACATAGCTGGGCATTTTTCAATTTTCTTTACCAGCTAGTAATACCCTAGTATAACCTTCGTGACCTAGTTTTAAAAGCTTCCTCCGTGTATTTCTTCCCGGAGTAACGATGCTGCTCTAATGCTCGCGATATTAGTAAGAATATTTTAAAGGTGGAGCAACTTTCAATTCTCAGTTCACCGCTTTATAAATATTTGAAAATTATCCGATCCGCGAGCTTTCGACTTTTGGGAAACTGTTGAAAACCTGTTTTCATCGATAAAATAGTTAGTTTTCAATGACGGATTAAGGGCAACTCGTCGTATAATCGGTGCAAACAAAGTTTCAAAATTCGTAGTATCGTGTAACATAGTTTTGAGTTAATATCCGGGGGACTGGTTTATACTGACGTGCCACGCATCGAGTATAAGCAAGCGGCACTGATCTCGAGATAAATTTGGACATTTGCCAAAAAATTATTAAACGGCGGATATTAATGAGTTCCTCCTCCCCCCTCTTCCTCGACGTAGATTACCCAAGGTTGGCAACCAGATCTCCAAGTTTCTTGGCGCGTAAACCGGGACGCCTCGGGGTCAACGATGAACCAAATTATTTAACGGGGGTTAAGGAAGAAAGCTGGAAGAAAAGAGGAAAGCTAGAAATGGAAGAGGCCAATTATTTCCCATTTTTTTCGACGATGTTTAAGAAAAAGTCGAGAGACGATAAGTTTTCATCGATCGTAATAAAAATTTCACGCTAATCGAACCCGTTCTTTCTTTCCACGATTTTTTCAAATTTATATTAAACTCGTAAAACTTTCCTTCGACTCGCAACTTTCTTCCGGAACAGATTCTTCTGCGATCGTGAAATTTGGCCGTTTCGAAGGAAAAGATAAAGCGTTCTTCCATTTATTTTCGATCGTTTCTCTCGCGAGATAAAGGATTATTAATTCTTTTCTTTTTATCATCGCGGAATCTTGAGACATTGAACGGAGAATAAATTTGCCGTAAAAAACGCAATCCTTTGCCACGATGAATTTCAAATCTCTCCCTCCTTTATTTTCCAAATAATAAAGAATAAAAATCGCTTGCCGGGAGCCACCGCCGATATTCAACACAGATTTGATTTCAAATTTTTAAATTGCCCAGCCGGGCAAATAAAACTCTTTCTCTCTCTCGACACCGCGTCGCGTTTTTTCCTGTTGAATCAAAATTGGGCCGAAATTTCGAGCCGAGAAAAAAAGAAAACCGAATTCGAGAGGAAATACGACATCAACGAACAAGCAAACAGACAAACAAACAAGGAATAATCCTCGGGTCGATCGAAGCGAAAATCCTTCGAGATTAACGCGATAAAGCGTGTCGTAATGGCGACAGGTATCCCAACGATCCCCACGAATCGGATCTCTTCGATTCTCGACGCGGCTCTTCGATCGAGCGCGATACTGCGTTTCGAGAGATTGGACGAAGAATCTCGTTGGATGAAATCGAACGGGATGAAAGGGAATCGCGAGGAGAGAATCGTGACGTCGCGCTCGGCAAACTTACTCCTTTTCTTTTCCAAATTCCATTATTTCCAATCGGCCACCGGCCGTTTCGTTCCGGGGACGAGTCGGCCTCTCAACGTTTCTCGATCTCGGGG